TTTTTTCCGGCAGCCATTTGGTTTTTTTTTGCGCCCAGTCACGTGACCGTTTTGGCCGCCATCCGCTGCATTGTGCGCCATCGTGGAGAGCATGCAAAAACCCGACCAAATGGTGGCAAAATGGCCGGGATGAAGTCACGTGAATATGCGCCCGCCACCCGCCGTGGCATGCGGGAGGTCGGTAATGACCCCGCCCGCACCCCCGCCAGCCCCCGCCAGCGTTTTAAAATTTTTGGTTCCATCTGTCACGTGCTTTTTCGCCCGCCATCCCGCCCGCTCGGTGCTTCCACGTGATTGATTTTTTTTTCCCGCCCAGCTACCCGCTCTTACAGATGTAGACAAGTCACATGTATATATTTTCGTTCACCCCCCCTGCTGACCCCCGCATATGCCCCCGCCCCCAAATGGACCAAATCCCCCCCGCGGGCCCCGCAGGGGGGTACCTTTTAGGTACCCTCAGAGCTACGTCTGAGGGTACCCAGGAGGACCCCCGCGGGGGTGCAACCGGGTGATGGCGGTGGTAACTGAGGTGACAGCGGGCCAGGAATTATACAGATGATCCTAACATGCACATAGGTTGCTCCCCGACACTAGATAACTGTGAGATATGCCCCGTTTCCCATTGATATGAAGATCGATTCGACTATGTGTGAGCGGACGCAAGCCAAAATGTTGGCTTGGCAAGCCAACATTTTGGCTTGCAAGCCCTGATGGCATCATTTTACAGCCAAATCCACGCCCAAGCCAAAAAAAGCCATTCTGTATGGAGGCCGGGAATTATATGCTGATAAGCGGAGGACATATCACTGATACGCGAAAGTTTGCCGACATGGCATCAATGTCATGATGCGCTCTATGTCATGATGCGCTCTGTCTGGACCCCGAACGCTGAAGTGTATTACTAGCATTGACACGCCTACGGAGCGTATGAGCGCGCAGCTGTACGGGGAGAGACAGGGGGCTAGTCGGAGGTCGTGGGGAGGGAGCTGCGGCTCGAGCTCGCGCAGTATATTTGTGGGATTCTGATCCTAACAAGGTCAGGCTCGGGGAAATGGGCTTAACTGAAATGGGCGGGGGCAGCAGCGAGCAACAGGGGGAGTAAAGGGACAATAGAACAGGCGATGGGACGATAATGACGACGGAGGACAGGACGAGAGGACGATAGAACGACGGGGAGATCAATATGTATGTCTGTAGCACGAAATGGGGGTTTGGGGGCGATGTTGGGAAAATAATGCAGAAGCAGGCGCCGAGAAAGCGAGATAGAAAGTACTGGGAAGTCACTTTAGACTCTAGAGAGTGGGTGAAGAAGATTTCTTGTTTTTCTTGTACTGTACTACAGGTCTTTTATACTACTGTACCGTGCCAATCAAATCGTCAGGGGGTGTGATGCGTGACACAAAAGGTCAATTCGTCAATTCGTCAGGTCCCCCCATGACATGTGACATGTTGATTTTTTCGTCAGGTCATGCATTCACCTCCCTATGAGTTGCTTGCAACTTGATCTGAAGCTATCTGTGTGATAGCCCCAGACAGACTCAAAACAACACAGGGAAGGGTACACAAGTATTTTTAACACTTCAGCTGAACCCCACAAGCCTTATTTATTTCCGAACGGAAAAATGAATTCGTCACCTGAGCATGTGATGCGTGACATCAAAACAAATTTCGACTTCGTCAGGCAGCCTGTGACGCGTGACTGACGATTTGATTGGCACGGTACAGTAAGTGTGAATCAAATCCAAAGGAGATAAGTAACTTGAACCTCCTGTTGATATGGTGACCATTGAGCTCTATGTTAATTTATTTCTTTAGTCAGTGCTGAATTTTGCCGAAATGAATGAGTCCTGTGAGCACAACAAGGAGACGAACTCCGAAATAGGACCCCGCCGGAGGCATCCAGTGATGATCAGAATGATCACGTGCAACAACCTTGATGAGCTCGCTGACAAATCCATTGAGATCTTTTCGTGCACGTGATCGATTGATTTCAGGGCTAGGGCGCATCACTGCTCGTCAGCATGTATGTACTACCAATGATCATTGAAATCCTGAGAGTCCTCTTTGTCCGAGAACCATGCGTACAATGCATGAGCGTCATCCGGTAACTGGGAGTTGGGCATGGGATACACTTCGGGCTCGATATCGTTGATCATTGCGTTCAGACGTGCGTGATGTTCAGGACCTCCGAAAGGAGACGAGTCAGTGAACAGTAAGGTTCCCAAGTAATGGAACATACCGAGACCATCCCCATTGTTGACTCCACCCATATAATAAGCACCCTCTCCGACGACCCCCTCACCGCCCTGCAGTTCCTGCAAGTTTGGGAGAAGGGGAATGTTTTTATCGACCGGCTGGGTCAGCACATGCCCCCACCTTGCATCGGCACTCTGATCGATATTGTTTGTAAGGGCAACTCCTGCCAGCCCGAAGGAAGAGAGCACACAGCACACAACAACCTCACATGAGTCTGAGCACAGAGGGGGATCCTTAGAGACTATCAAATACAAGGGAGGTATACTACTCACCTGAGCACAGAGGGGGATCCTTAGAGAACGGTTCAAGGATCCATGTGCCCAGGTGTCACACTATATAGTCAGCTGTGACAAGTGACTGATGATGATGGGATATCACTGCCATGGAACAATGGCAGATGACAAGTAGATAATGACAAACCCAGATAAGATAGTGAGTGGCTCAGAGGGGCCAGTGATGGCCAGCTCCTGAGACACCAACAGTGGAAGGCCACACTGGAGGAGCCCAGCGGCCAGGCCAGTGCCCGGCCGGCCAGTGGAGACATTGGAGGCGAGGACCAATGCCCAACTGGGAAGAGGGGTGGTGCAGATGAGCGCAAGGGCATCTGGTACGAGCCTGTACGGCAGTAGACCACATCCGCGGGGAGAAGGCCGAAGTGAAGGGGGAGGAGTGCATACGGCAGTAGCACTCCCTGGTGCAAGGAATCGGGCTTGGCTAGACCGCTTGCGGGGATTCGAGGGAGATGGCCGGGGGAAGAAGGGAAAGGGCGGATGTTGGCATGGATGGAGATGAGGATCGGAGGAGGAGGAGGAGGCTGGGTGATCGACAGGTGAGCAGGCACGGGTCGGCAGAGAGGGTGCAGTGGGTCACGTGCATGGTCACGTGCCCAAGGAGCGCGGCGTCCCCTGACATTGTTGAGCTGATCCAACTCCTTGAGGCGATTCAGGAGCTGGAGATATACATCCCAACATGAGTCCCGGTCCACAATAGGGCTATTAAGCTTTGCATAGATATCCAAGATCGCGATCTCGAAGTCAGGGGGAACAAGGAGAAAGACGTCATGATCAGGTGGTGCGTACATCTGTCGGACTTTTTCAATACCGATAGGATCGACCTTGATCTGTAAGGGACTAGTAGTTAGTGGCTTGTACTTGATGAAATCGGACTCGTACCTTGAAATCGAGGATGGCGTAATCCTCTGGGAACTCAAACATGCTAGTCGGAACACTGTGAGGAAGGATCTTGTTACGATCACAGCGCTTTGCGGTATTGTTCACGCGATGCCGATACAGCTCAAGCTCGCCCTGAAGCCACGGGATGAATACCCAACGGAAGACTAAGCTTCCAGCCTTCGGAGAAGCCTCTGGGGATCGGTTCGTTCAAATCTGCTCATTCTGCGTTTCTGACGCTGTCCACTTTGCCAACCACACCCCTCGGAGCGCTTCCAAATCAAGCCGTTGCCGCGAAACGCATGTTCAAGAACAACGAGAATAGCGTCTTGATCCACTTCAACCCCATCGATGAATATGCGCACCATGTATCGGAGGCACATCTCCTATTCTGGGGCACTACCCTTCTCAGTTTCGTTTATTCTTTCGTGCGTAACTACATATCAAAGCATGTCGCGCCACCAGGCGACCTCCCTATCTTTGAAGTCCGCTTTGTCGAGGCCGGCGTTGCTCTGGTTCACAATGCGGTGGCAGATGGCAAGTCGAGCAAAATGATGACATCACTCCGACGATCATATCTCATTGAAGAATTAATTGGAACGGATTTGTTCTCTGCAACGACTCGAGTATATTGCTCACTGAATTTCAGGCAATTTTGTGAAGTACATCAATAACAATAGTGCAGTGCCCGTTCCGTCGCTTCCAGAAGATCTCAAGCTGTTGGCATCGTTCCTCTGTTTTACACAACATGTCCAATACGAACACACCGGGCGTTTGGTCTTTCTTTCTGATCTTCAAGGCCGGTTCATTCGATCTGGCTCACTGTTTCATACTAACTCTATCCAAGGCTCCGGAAATCTCTTGACGGATCCGCAGGTTATGACTTCACCGTGCGCAGTCCACTGCTGTGTCAATCTGCGTGCTCTTGATATCTGACTGGATCATCAGGACTCTCGAACGTGGTCTGTTTGGTGGTGGCAATTCAGGCAGGTTCTTCGAGAAGTTTCCTGAGCAGCATGTATGCTCCGGTTACTGCAAGTTTTTTGGACTGTCTAGTCTCATGTAAGTAGTTACGCTCTATCGCTACTCTACAGTGCATGTACTTGGCCTTTTTCATACATGTTAACGAGCGTTCGGGGTCCAGACAGAGCGCATCATGACATAGAGCGCATCATGACATTGATGCCATGTCGGCAAACTTTCGCGTATCAGTGATATGTCCTCCGCTTATCAGCATATAATTCCCGGCCTCCATAATTCTGCGCCGGTACAAGCCACTTGGCCAAGCCAAAAACGTCACTCTCGCGGCGCGCCCCCAGGAATACGAGCGTCTGCGGCTTCTGGGCGATCTGCTGCACGGTGTGAAAGCCCAGACCTGGATAGCGTTGAGATTATGCTCAGCTCGGGATACCACACAGCGAGCGCGGCGAACAGACCTTGGTTGGCGCCAGTCACGACAAAAGATTGGATAGTGGTTGTCATCGGGGACTCAGATCTAGAGAAGGGTTGGTGAGTCGATGAGGCTTCCTCGTCGCTTTAAGTAATCTGTGTGAAGAGGATTCAGCCAGCATGAGCCCAGCATCGGTCCCTGAATCCATGTCAAATCACTTTGCATTCTCGACATTCACCAGAGCAATACTGAGATGATGAACGGAAAGCTTCAAATCAGGATGACGTGCATTACTCTGTCCCAGCTACTGTGTCATGAAATCGACTATTAGCGCATTTGTCAAGCGACTTGAGAGTCATTCACACTACTCTAGGTTTGTAAGCCTTCGATTTGCCCGCCCAAGCAAGCCTTGTGGGTGCCGAGCGTCTTCTGGTCTTGTGGATGACAAATATAGCCGTAGATACTTCTCGGGATTGCTCTGAGGTGAAATATTGATAATGGTCGGTACGAATGAATTGGTAATGACATTGATATGTCAGCCTCGGAAGTGACAGTGACTAGGGTCACAGTGAAGGGCCCTCCCTACTTCCTCACAGCCCCGAAAGCATGGAAGAATGCCCGCGTTTCCGCCATGCATCTCAGTGAGCCTGATTTCGGTGCGTTTTTGTGCTAGCCGAGGTTGTGCGACGGCATAGCCTATCTGTGTAGCAGGCGGAGCCTGACGCAGTTGTTGAATCTTCATTCTAAGTGGCAGTGGTCGGTTGCCGAAGAGATTTATAATATTGTCGAAATGGGATTCTGGCTCATTGTACAATACTACCAACGGCCAACGTTGTTTGGGTCAAACGTTATCTCTGCCAGTGCGTCAGTAGACGATAGACTCCGAAAGGTGCAGAGACTCGACAGATAGCCGAAAATTAACGATAACGCCGGGCAGATGAGGCTGAGAAGGAAAGTCTGCTACGTATCGCACTCTCCCGGAGGGTCTGACGCGTGAAACGAGGGATTGCTAACCGGAATCGATCCGACAGGGTGGTCCCGTACCCGTGTGTGCCGATTTCTGGTGTAGTTTCAAAGGCACCGCTCGATCACCCTGATGAATTGACGGGCCTGAGTACAACCTGTAGAGGAAGACATTTAAAAGAGAAGATTCCGTCCGGTCATAAATATGTGGGTGTGCCTTAGGAGGACCGTCATCTCTATTATCTAACGTTCTCCCGGTGCCCTAGAAAACGCTGAGCAGATGAAATATATGGTCAGAACACGGTGAGTGAGTCTCGTCCCAAGACCTGAAAGATCGGCTGAAGAGGGGAGTGAGGGGCAGGAGAGGAAATATCTTCGCTCGAGTGTAGGTAGGCCATGGCATGATGTAACTCAGGGGGAAGTCGCTTGGTCAAGGAGATTTGCGTCAACATGGAGAACGATGACTCAAAACAGAGCTCGGAACCGTCGCGGTTGATAACAGTGAAGAGACTGGCAGCACGTCCAGCCGGGACGCGACCGTCGAGGTACGTTCTGGCTAACAGATATAGCCAAGTCCAAGCTTACGGGACCATCGAGAAGAGATTGAGACCTGAAGATTGCAGCGACGGATCCGAGAGAAGGGCACATGTATTGCATATGGGAAAACGAGGAAACTAAAGCAAATTATATTGGTATATCCTGATTGAAGAATGCGAGACCCCAAAGCAATGAGACGATTGCGTTTCCATCCCCCTGCCGAGGATGAAAGTGGAGACGGGGCGCTCAGTAGTGGCCACCGGAGAGCTGGAAGACGCCGTCAGTCGGCCAGTTTCAATCCAGCACCCTAACGCACCTTGGCCTTGTCCAGCGCGATCGAGTGGCCCTTGCCTGCAGCCACAATGTCCAGCCCAGAAAAGTCCCATGTGCCAGTGCAAGCTCCGCAGTCGACCACCAGACCGTATGCGTTGCTGGTCCCAGACACCGTCGTCGGCGAGCCAGAGAAGCTCACACCCGAGATCGGTCCCCCAGTTCCAGGCTTGCCGTTATTGGCGGGGTAGCTCTGCGTGATCAGAACGCCGTACGACGTGATCCCAGACAGCTTGTTGCTGCGGGGGGCGATGAGCAAGGTACAGCACGCACGCGTGCGGATACACCGAGACGCACCCATCGTAGACCACATTCGCGACCTTCGCACCCGTCGCCGACGCCTGCACCTTGATGCGGATCCCGTACAAGCTGTTCGTCACCGTGTTCCGCAGCGCCTTGAAGTTCGTCACGCTCTTCCCAGACGCCATCGACCCGATCGAGATCCCGTGCCCGCCCGCGCAGCTGTTGTCCTCGAACACGACGTTGTTGCCCGCATTCAGCGCGAGACAGTCGTCCTGGTTCTTGACCGTGCACGACGAGATCGTGACGTCGTCGGCGCTCACGTCAAACGCGTCGGTGTTGTGTCCGCCCTTGGAGTCGCCGAGCGCTGAGCAACATGTTGATCAGCTCAGAAACCCAATGATGACAAGCACGCGCGACCGAGCACGGCCACTCACAGTTGTCGACCGTGACATGCGAGATGGCCGCCGCACCGCCGGTCGTGCCGACGGAGATCGCCTGCGCCGGCGAGTTGAGGACGGTGAACTGCTGGAAGGTGCCGTAGCCCTTGACCCTGAAGCGCGCGAGTCCAAGGTCAATCCCCGCGGCCACAGTGGATGCGCCAGTGGACCACTCACTTGATGAACGGGTGCGGCTTGAACGAGCCACCGTTGGTTCCCTTGCCGTCCCAGTACGAGGCACCGTTGCCGTCGATCTTGTGGTTCCCGCCGTTGAAGTTGATCGCGGGGGTGTTGAACGTGAAGAGAGGACCAGGGGCTGGGAGCGAGTGATCGACTGTCAGTCCCAGCGGATTGCCCATTCCGAGAAACTTTGCGTACTGGTCGTCTTCGCGAACACGACATCGCCGGCCATGGTGACCGTCGCGCCTTTGGCAGCCTGTAATCGCGCGTCAGATGAGATTACCCCGGCCAGCTACCGCGCCGACACGTACGGCGATCGTGATCGTGTTTCCAGCAGGCACAGTGAAGCCCTGGATGACGACGTTGGAGCATCCGCTCAGGTTCTTCGAGCTCGCCACGCTGTTGACCGTGCAGGACGCGCGTTTGTCGTTCTCGATGACGGCCAGGTTGCCCGGAAGCGCAAGCGCGACACCGACGAGGGCAGACAGCTGCAGGAAGGAAGTGATCGAAGGCATGTCGAGAAGTTGGAGGAGCTGGAGGAGAAGGGCGAGGGGAGGATGGTGTTGTGCTGAACCTGCGGAGGGCCTATTTTATAGACTCGCATCGCATCCTTTCCGAGGACCGGCAACGATGCGCCATATTCCTCGACGGCTCGACCCGTCAGGTCATGGGTCGTCTCGTGAATGAGTCCGAGTCCAAGTCCGAGAGTCGTTTGGCGATGGTAGGTAACGGGTTTTGCAAAGGACCAGGTCTGGCACGTGGCCGCAAATTAGACCCAAGCCGCCAATCGGGCGACTCCTCAAATTGATTGTGATCCCCGCCATTGTTTGGCGCGTCGTGTTTATCAGGCCGCTGCTATCCACTTCGTCTAGTCTTACACGGCTCACTGGGCCATACTCTTGCAAGTCAGACAGGATACAGTGTAATAGGCAGAAGTGGATTGATGGATCGATTTCCGGCCCTCAGTGACAACACATCGTCAAGATAACTATTATACAGCATGTAGATACAAACTAGATACTCTCAAGATACAAAATATGAATTTACAATGTGATTAGCGAGGTCGAAGCCATTAGTGCAAGAAATCTTGCGATGCAAGTGCAAGTGTCACGTTTCGGCAGAAGTGGATGTCACACTCCTTCTTCTTGATCGACATCGTCGTCGTCGTCGTCGTCGTCGTCAGTGTCGTCCTCGAGTCGCGGAAGCTGCGGTTTCTTCCCAAGTTTAGGTTTTACTGGTCAGTCTTTCTTCCGAGAACCTCCTTTAATCAATTCCTTGCATTCCCGACCCCAAGCCTCCACGTCAGCAGCATGCGCTGCTTTCATCTGGGCCCACTCTTTGTCTAGTGCGGCCTTTGCGGCCTTTCTATCGTTTCGCGCCGCCTTTCTTTTTGACTTTTCGGCATCTTTCTCCTGTTTCTCTCTATTCATCCGCTGCACTTCCTCGAAAAACTCGTCAGATGACAGGCATTGTGCTTGGCCCTTGAACATGCGAGCACGTTCATTTGTCGCCCGCTCCTCCCGCTGGTGAAGAGCTTCGTTGGTCTTCTTCAATGTGATGTTCTGCAAGACCATGGTTGCATTCGCTTCCTCCAGCATGCGGTCTTTCACGGCTGACTGCACTTCTGCTCGTCTCAGGTGCGCCTTCAGCTCTTCAATCTCCACCTCCAGCTGATTCCTTGCCTTCCAGCCGTTCTTGTTTCGACCTTGCAATGCAAGAGTCCAATCCGGAGCCGGCAGCCTCATCGGCATGGACTGGATGACCGGATTGTGGATCGGGTTTGTGCGGGATGTAACTTTGGGTGTGCTCAACAGCAGAGAGCCTGTTGATGTCGAACCCAGGTGCGCGTACAATGTCCGCATCTTCTTTGATGGTGTCCACAGGTTTGGGTTGTCGTCTTTGGGCTCAGAGCCTTCATCACGAGGACGTCGTGTTGGTGTCGAAGGTGGGGATATTTCAAGCAAGTCTGCAGACCGTTCAAGACGGGTGGGCCGATGATGTGCCATTGCCTGGGTGATTCGGCGAACAGGGCTGGGTTGGAGCATGGGGAACTCGCCGCGAGTTGAGGTGGATTGGCTGGGTGCCATCTGCTGGGCGGAGACAAATTCTGGGTTGAAAGGTACGACACCAGTGACCCTGAATACTGCCTGGACCGTCTTCTCATCGAATGTAGCTTTGTACGCTGGTGCCCACACCGTCAAGAACTCGTTCTTCGACACATCACGCTTCATTGTCTCCTCGAACGCTGTGATCTCCCGCTTCCACAACTCTTTCATCTTTGAGAAGCACACCACATCCAAGCCCTGAAGAGCATGTGTGCAATGCGGAGGATAGCCAAGTAGTATGAGGTTGTTGTTGCGAGCAAACTGAAGGAACTTCTCGCTATAGTGGGAACTGTGGCCGTCGAGCAGGAGCACTCGGGGTCTCCCTTCTGCTTTGTCTCTTGTAGCGGGGTCAAACACCTTGGTCAGCCATTCATAGCCACGGTCTTGGTCTGTCCATCCATTGAGGGAACGGGAGATGCTAGGGAACAGTGTGTTAGAATTCACTCTCTTCTAGTCTTGCTTGCTCACAATGCGTCAATAGTGTTGCCATTGTTCCATGAGGTCTGGAACTTGGACCCGGGGAAGATGATCATGGGCGGGACCACCATCTTTCCGTCTGCACGTATTGTCACCAGCACTGTGATGTTCTGCCGGCTTGCTCCACCCTGCTTGTGTTGTGTTTTCACGCCTCTTCCCCCCACCACTCTCTCTTTACCCGTGTATCCCATTGGAAACCCGCTTTCGTCCATCCCGTAGATGCAGTCCGGTGCAACGCCTGAGTCCACCACCCACTTCTTCACCAAGTTGACCCACGACTTCACTGCTGTCTTATTCAGACTCTTTGCACGTTGGGAATCCAGTGGCTTGCTCCAATGGGTCTGCAAGTGCTCGTGGTGCCGATCCAAGAACGCAAAAATCCATGTCTTCCCAACCTCCTTGCATCCGGTCCCGTGCATCGCCTGTCGCACCGCGTTCGCATATTCTGCAATCTGCCTGTGGGTCAACGGGAATCCCATGTTGGCTGATTCACATATGAACTGCACAAGGGACCATTCTTGCGCTGGTGTCAGTTTCTGTTGTGATGCATGTGCTTCCTGTCGACTTTTTCCTCCCTTGATATGACGATGTAGAGTACCGTAGGAGATCCCATGTGCCTTGGCTATGTTTGCAATAGATTTTGGTTTTCCCGAGTTTGCTGGCTTGGCCTGCTCGTATGCGTATTCAGTGAGTGCCCTCTTGATCACCACCTCCTTGTTGTGTTCCCGTAAATGGGCCTTAACATGATTAGAGTTAGCGCGTTTGACCATGTGGAATGTGGGGCTTGTGAATGGAGATAACTTTGCCGAATGGAGAAGATGCGCGCGTGTGGAGGATGAGGAAGGATGATCAAAAAACTGCATGTCACGCTTGCTCACACGTCAACCTTGGGATGGGTCTAGCTCCCTCCCTCTTTGTCCAATTCCTTGGGTCAAAAGACCCAAAGTATAGCCTAATACGGCCTTCAAAACATGAAAAAGAAATTGCACCCAAAAAATGAGCTCAAAGGGTCCAAAACACCAAAAGGGAATCTTGATCAGTCCGTGATTCTGCTCATTTTGGTCTGAATCACCCTCGTGAGCGCAATGTGGTTACTCCCAACCTTCAATACTTGGGTTTCCAGGAGAGATCATCCCATAGATTCTAAATATGAATTACTGTGGGTAGAAATGCTCACAGAAATGTGCTACGAAGGTTTCATCCATTACTGATGCATCATCCACTTCTGCCTATTACACTGTAGTCCCATGAGATCAGCGCACGCATTCTCCCCCATTTCATCCCCAGAAAATACGAGCGGCCGCGGTTGCCATGCCATCGTCCCAGTGCTGAGATTATCTAGGCTCGGTAAACTTCGTCGTTGTCCTTACGCCAAAACGGCTTCCTTTCATCCGAAGCCAATGCATGCATGCCATAAGCACAATCTGGAATCGTTGAGGCATAACCAGTGCCTATGCAGCAGACGCATTCAAGCTCCAGTCCTCTTCCCAACTCAGGCAAAGCACGGAGAGAAGAAATCGGGTCGTAGCAATGAATCCTTTGCCAGACACTGGAGTATGAAGAGGCGTAAAGTTTCTCGTGCCGTGATCCGAAGAAGGTCCGCAAGGTACAGGGTCAACCCAGCTCACCTGAATTGTGAGTTTTGATTCCGAACCCGTCCAGTCTCATGAATCTTTGTCTTCGGTCACGTTTGGCCAGTCCCAATGACAGTCGGATAATCCTGTCGCTTCACATCTGTCGAGGGAGCCACAAGCTCCGGTGCTACAGATGCAAGCAAGTATTTCCGGGGTCCAGACACAACTCGGCAAAAAAAAAATGAACGAGCCCTTGTGTGACTCGTCACAGCCAGTCCGCACAAACATCGCAAATACAAGTGACACAGAGATCTTGGGTATGGAGGTTTACATATTTTCAGTTTTTGTAAGGATGGAAAATTATGTTTTGAGCTCTCTGCATGCTGCTATGAAGATTCTGATACGATCTCTCTCAGAAAGAAGCCTGATTGTCATAGTTTGACCATGATTGATGATCTTTTCTTATCTCAGCCTGGGTTATCTTATCACAGATCATGGCATCACACAGTCTGGGTTAGGGGCTCAGGAGGGTTATCTCTATTGATCCAAGGCTGCACAATGTATGCTCTGAAAAGTTCTACTAAACCCATGACCAGCGCTCCATGTGGTACATAGTCTCATGACTCATTAGTTGTAGATGTGACTCAGACTGCATTTGGGTATAAATGCTGTAGCTACTTGGTTGTATTCTCCAGTCTTTGAATTCACTTCTCTTTTCAACTTTATTTTTGGGTTGATTGTCACAGCAAGGTAGGGATTGGAGGACCTGGGTTGGTTTTGATGCAACAGATTGGGCAACAATGGTACAATGGGGGGAGGAGACAGACTGTAGACAATGTGTATGTAGTAAGTCCTCATTCACACAAAGATCAGTGTAAGACTCCTGTATACCTATAGACAACATGTATGTAGTAAGTCTACAGGGGATAATAAGTAAACAATATGTATGTGAATAAGTAGAAACCCAGCCTCAGTTGCATGAAGATCAGTGTAAGACTGAGGGAGGGAAAAACGATTGGCAAACTTTTATACTGCTCAGTCCAATTGCTCCCTGACACATGATGGCACTGAACGCCCACACATTGATGCGCCATCATCTCAACACTCCCCCTAGCATTCAGTTCCCAGACCCTTATCTCTAATCGAGCCCAAGTGCATGGCAGATGTGTGTAATGGCAACCTTGAGACCCAATCTCAGAGTTCTGGCAAGGGAGAATCCAAAGTGATTAATAGTGGTAGCTAGGTACAAGACCGGCATACCTGGCAAGGGAGAATCCAAAGAGAAACCCTGTTGGGGATTGTCCTTGCCAGGTGCCACTATTTATATGATACAGGAACAATAGACCATGCAGCAACAAACAAGAACAATAAGTACAATGGCCATAACAGAATGATAGGAAATAGAGACAATAGAGACAATTGGAACCATGGCACCACCTGCCATCAAAGAGAAGCGCTTGGTGCGGCGGTCCGGGCCACTGCGCATGACAGCTGACAGGTCACATGACCGCAATTACATGCCAGATCCCAGGCTGATTGGTCTGAAGCAGGGGTTCCCCTGATATCACCCTCCCCTTGGATTGCGGCGCCTTGACGCAATGTGCGGATGGTAGCAGAGGGGTGCTGGAAAGGGAGGGAGTCAAAGACAGCGGCAGCAATGATGCATGGCTTG